AGCTCCTGTTCATAATGAAATATTTTAACAACTAAGAATAAAATTAAACTTTCTAATTCCGATAGTGTATCTACAAAATCCTGAAGCTAATATCATATTCAGTGATGTCATAGCCAACGGAATAAAGCAATTAAAAGGAAGTCACGTATATTGGAAAAGGGGAAATAAAATAGATGACATAATTGTCTGTGTTAACATTTCAAGGGAGCTACAAAAACCTACCTGTAACTAAGTAAATTAGGCCAGACTACTGTAAGATCAACAAGAACGAACACACACACACACACGCACACATGAATCATATTTCTATATACTGGCAGTGAGCATTTATGAATTGAAATAAAACACATATATTCTACCTCCCCCAAAATAAAATCCTTATGTAAAAGTGTAGTAAAACCTATCCAGGAAATACATGCTAAAGCACAAGGATGCTGATGAAAGAAATCAGAGGACCAATGTAAATGGAGGGACGTAAAATACCTAATGTTTTGGAAGACTCAGCCCAGTAAAGATGTCAACTGTTCCTAAATTGGTCTGTAGGCTTACTGCATTTCCTATCAAAATAGAAACAAAATTTCTTTGAGATATAGACAAGCTGATTATGAAATTTTTATTGAAAGGAAAAGGATCTAGGCTAGGTAAAACAATTTTGATAGAAAAGGAAAAAGTTGGATAAATAAAACTACAGGATTGAAAGACGTATTATATAGCCATCTCAATCAAGAGAGTCTGGCATGACAAAGAAGTATGTGCACATATCTATAGAACAGAACAGAAACAAATCCTCATAAATACAAAAACCAAATGATTTTTTACCAGGTGCAAAAGCAACTTATTAGAGAAAGAACAGTATTTTTAATAAATGGTATTTAAACAATTGGATTTCCCTAGGGAAAATGGAAACACGACCTAAACCTCACACTTTATGCAAAAACTAATTCAAATGAATGATAGGTATTGTAGTAAGCAAGATAGCTCCCCAAAGATGTTCATGTCATAATCTCTGGAACTTGTAGATATGCAATTCAATTGTGCAAAAATTACAAAAGAGATTTTGTAGAAATGATTACATTTATGAATTTGGCACTGGGGAGTTTAATCCTGGATTATCAAGGTGGGGCCAATCTAACCACACGGGCTCTTAAAACACGGAACTTTCTCTAGCTGAAGTCAGAGATAACCGGCAGAAGCAGAAGACAGAAGAAAGGTACCGAAGAAGAGAAATTCAGACAGATCCTAAGCATGAGAAAGATGCAATGAGCCGTTGCAGGTCTGAAATACAGGGGCCAGGTGCAAAGTCTGGAGAGGCTTCTGGGAACCAAAGGTGCCTTTGATCAGTGGCCAACCAGGACAGAGAGACTTCCATCCTGCAACCAAAACGACCAGGGCTTTTGCCAAAAACCTGAAAGACCTGAAGTTTAATCACTTCCACAAAGTCTCTTTTGCAATTTTATTCTTCCCAGAATATTCTGAAAAGAGTCCAGCCAGCTAACACCTGGATTACAGTTCTGTGAAATCCAAAGCAAAGAAACCAATTCAGTTTATGAAAACTTTGGGCCGGCACCGCGGCTCACTAGGCTAATCCTCCGCCTACGGCGCCAGCACCCCGGGTTCTAGTCCCGGTTGGAGCGCCAGTTCTGTCCTGGTTGCTCCTCTACCAGTCCAGCTCTCTGCTGTGGCCCGGGAAGGCAGTGGAGGGTGGCCTAAGTACTTGGACCCTGCACCTGCATGGCAGACCAGGAGGAAGCACCTGGCTCCTGGCTTTGGATCGGTGCAGTGCACCGACCATAGCAGCCATCTGGGGGGTGAACCAAGGGAAGGAAGACCTTTCTCTCTGTCTGTCTCTCTCTCACTGTATAACTCTGCCTGTCAAAAAAAAAAAAAAAAATGAAAGAATGAACTTTGGCCTATAGAACATGAAACAATAAATTAGTTTTTTAAAGCAAGTTTCTATGAATTTGTTATGGCAGCAATAGAAAGCTAATACAGATCTAAATGTAAAATGTAATACTGTGAGACTTTGGGAGAAAATATTTTTGAACACGGGTTAGGCAAAGAGCTCATCTTACAGTAACACAAAAGCATACTTCATAAAAGAAAACAAGCAATATGGAGGGCTTTAGCAAAATTTACAAATTTTCTCTGTGAAACAGAAAAAGTGAAAATCAAGACATAAACCAGAAGAGAAGATTTGCAAATCACATGTCTGACAAGGGTCTTATCTTGAGAATGTAGTTGAAAATCATTCTCAAACCTTAGTAAGACCAGCAATGCCATTGGAAAATGGGCAGAAGACTTGGATAAACATTTTACCACAGAGGATATAGATACGGTAAATAAATACGTGAAAAGATATTCAATAGCATTAGTCAGAGTGGGAAATGCAAATTACAGCATGTCTTCACACCTGTTAGGATAGCTAAAATAATATTAATATAACCAAATGGCATTAAGGATATGGAGCAACTGACTGAAGGCATGAAGAAACTGTTTTATCGACAAGATGGCATACTGCAGAGCAACAAAAGGAAAAGAATTACTGATACATAAGTTGGATGGATCTTCCGTCTATTATGCTGAGTGAAAAACTCAATTGCAGTGGGTTACATACTGTATCATTCCATCTGCATTAATTCTCAGAGTGACAAAGTTACAGTGACTGGGAGCAGACTAGAGGTATTCAGGGATACATTGGGGTCTACTATGTGGGTTGGAACGAGGGATTTTCTACTGAATCATGAGACAGTCCTGTATCCTGATTCTGATGGCAGCTATGTGTATGTGATAAAATGTCGTAGGACTATCCACCAAAAATTGTGTGCGGAAACATGAAAATAAAATAAGGTCTGTAACTGGATCAGTATTTTCCCAATGTCAATTTTCTGGTTTTGATAATTACATTAAATTTACGTAAAACACCATCAGTGGAGAGATGTTGTGAGGGTACGTGGAAACTCTCATTACTATTCTGCAACTTTTATGTGGTCAGAATTATTGCAAATAAAATACTTTAAACATTGTAACCTTAATGGCTACCTAGGAAAAATTGATATCAAGTTATACCAAATACAGTCACCAAAGTGGTTCAAATTAAAAACTGACAATACCAAGGTGTGTGTGGATGTGACATGTATTGTCATTGGCGCTATACATTGGATTACTGTCTCAAAGTCTGAATCCATTTCACCAATTTTAAATATGTATCTACCTAGTGACTCTCAAATTGCACTCAGACATTGTATACATGAAAGAAAGGAGAGTGTCTGTTATAAAAGACACGTACAATAAGGTATGTAGCACCTTGGTGTTGAGAGCCAACCCCTGAAGAAGCTCAATTAGCCACCAACAAAATAGTAAATAAAGAAATGGTGATATAGTCACACAATGGAATGCTAGACATTTTCATATAACAAAGTTCTCTACTGCTGCTGTCACACACAACGGTGTAGACAGATTTCACAGACACACGAAAATAGTACTAGACACAAAATTTATTTTGATATCATTCATATGAGGCTTGAGAAGAGGCAAAAATACTTGGCTGTGTTGAAAGTCAGGATGACAGCTTACATCTCACAGATGTAATTGTAGACTAGAACGGCCCAGGTGAAACTTCTAGGGTGAGAGAAATGTTCTGCATATTGACTTGGGTGATAACTCCACGCCTATATGCCTACTATGCAAACACTCTTCAGATCCTGCACCATAGATTTGTACACTTTTCTGAATTCAATGTATACTTCAATAATTTAAAAAATATGCTAAGACCCTTCTTTTTGAGTCCAGTCACAAGTAACATAAGGTTGGCCTGGACACTCATGGCAATCATCAAAGACTTTGGACAGATCCATCCTCCTGCTCTACCATGGACTCTGTGATGTTAGTTGAATGCCTGCAAGATGATCGTTAAAGCATCAACAACTGCATCTAAATTTGGAGAAAGCAAAGGGCAGAGGTCAAAAGGAGAAAACACAAGCCAATTGAGTTTTCCTCCTTCAAATATAAATCCTGAGAGCACCGTTCACTTACATGTCACTGGAAAGGATAATTTTTATGGCCATATTGAATGAAATAGAACTTGGTAAACTGCATATTTTGGCTGGGGTCATTTCGACAACTCAAATGAATCTGCCAGTTAGAAATCGAATAGAAATTAATGAGAATATAAATTAGGTAGAAGAAGGGGAAAATGGATATTGGGTAAGTAAGTATTGGGTGGGTAAGTTAGTAGCCTACTGCCTCTGGTTGCCTCCCATCCAGAAATTCTCTAGGGAAATCATCTAATGGGAAGCATTTTCATGTGATCTTTTAAACAAGTTTGCTACCTCCTGCAGAGATATTTACTTCTGTGTCCATATACTTAATTCCCAAAGCAGGTTTAGGGGTTTGAGCAAGGATTCTGTTCCCTTGAGAGAAAGCTAATAAAGGAAGGGGAGTATTCACAGTGTATTAAGGGCAGAATGGCTGGGTAGCTTCCCACTTTGTTCTGTTTGTGGTGGTAGTTTGTTTTTTTCTCCACGCTTTTACCCCTTGGTGTACTGAAGCTTGAGGGTGACAAATAAGGAATTATTTTAAAATTATTGTAATCATTATTATTTTGAAATTTACTATTAATAACAGTGTCTATGTGACATTTCAACACCTGTAACAATAGGTACTGATCGAATGAGCAGTGAGCATTTTCCCTTCTTTGACATTACTCTGTGATTGGAGGCTCAGAACTCCTTTTTCTGCTTTTTCACAAAGCATGTACTAGGTTATTGTGCGCTGCACGCTAGGTGACATTAGGAGCTGTTCCTTCCCATCGAATTCTCATTTGGTATCTCGACTCTCCCCTCCCAGATCTAGTAGTTAGTATTCTCTGTTTAGATTGGTTTCTTAAATTTTTGTCATCACTAATATATTCATTTTGCTCAACGTGGCCATTACTAATTTTTGTGAGTTGTCCATCATTCAGTGGACTTAGAGGAAAAATTCAGAATGAGAGGAACAGCTGCTTTTCTTCTTTGTAATCTTTTTTATTTCATAATAGTCTCAAATTACAAAACAAAAATTGTATAACATTGAGTTCTTAGGTGCCCACACCCAGATTCCCCCATTATTAACATCTTATAAGAGCATCATGTATTTATTGCAATCAACAAATTACACCTGCCTTCCCCTGTTTGTTTTTTTTTGTTTGTTTTTTTTTGTTTGTTTTTTTTTTTTTAATCGAAAGATGCTTTTCTTAAGTTCTGAGCTCCTTAGGTGGAGAAGCATCTGGTACTCCTGATCTTATTAATCACTATAGAGCAAAAACCCATAGAAGACAGTGGGCGTGGCTCCTTTTTCAGACTCTGCCTTGTCCAGCTTAGACTCCAGCCAGACCCGGTCCCCTTTCTCTAGCTGCACGATGGAACTTCCTGACACATGCTCGTGGCTGTCCTTGGCTTCCGCTTGTTTGTCCCTGACCTGGAGGCCATTCTTCATGAGAGCCACTTTTACAGCATTCTGAAACAGGGCAATGTCGAAGCCAAAGTGGTATAAACCAGGAACAGTGCAGGTGAACACTCCAGTGGCCAGGTCGAAGTGGCCCCGATGGTTGTACAGAGCTTCCTGGAAGACAATGGGCTGCAGGGGTCCTGGGAAAGACCCATTCAGCTTCACAGAAAATGCGGATGTTGGTGGGCACTTCTCAACACGCCCAGGTAGCCCAGGTGGTCCAGGTATACCCATGAATCCTAGATTCCAAAACAAACAGAAAACACAACCCTGTATTTTCAAGTTTTTTTTTTTTTTGTATTTATTGTACCTGGGTTTCTTTCTCTCTCCTGCCTTTATCCCCCACTCAACTCTTTTCTCCTTGGCCACCAGGGCACAATTTAGACACCACTGCTTCTGAAAACCCCCTCCTATCTACTCCAGTCTTAAGAATTTTATTTCTTTCCTTTAGAATACCAAATCTGTATTTACTGTTGCCATAGCTACAAGGAATTACAAACTAGAATTATGATCTTTCCATAAGTGGCCATTTCTTTGTCTAAACTAGAGACCAAGGTTTCCCTCAACTTTTTTTTCTAAATGTCACCCTCAGCATCAGCTACAAAATTAGCACTCAATATGTATATTCCGTAAATGAATAATTGAGAGACTATATGAGAGTGCTTCAGAAGTTTCAAGGAAGAATAGAGTTAAAAGGTAAATTGCATTTTGATGCCAAAAATCTTATTTATATACATCATTTTTTCATGAGCAATTTAAAGCCCTTGTGTGAATTAATCTTCAAATATGCACCAACATCTTTCACTGTAAGGTTGCGGGATCACTATTGGGAGGAGTTTGCCCAGATTCAGGGATCCCATTGTTCCAGAAGGTAACTGGAAGTTTGAGCAGTGGGAGCCAAGCATGCTGTTCATTATGCATGGTTCTGCACACCCCATTCCCACTCCACTTGATGATCTCTCAGGGTCAGGCTGCAGTAAGGCCCTTTAGTATCAGGACCTTCAAAATGGAGTTCAGGACCACACATGTTTAACAACTCCATGGGGGATGCTGGTCTCATTCATGTTGAAGGCCATTGCCTAGAGGTTCAAGTGAAGGGTTCAGAACTATGCCTGCATCTGAGCTTCATCCAACACACCCCTCAGCAGAATGATGAGAGGGCGGGAGGCTCACAGATCTGCTGACCTAAGTGCCTAAGCGTTATTGTGCGAACTTCCACTTACACTTTCATTGTGTGATGCCACACTGATGGAATCGCAGTTCTAAGTCTCAGTTATGACCACATGTCAAATGTATACAAAAACTCTTTAAACATATAGATTTCTTGGGATTTGGAAATTGAGTTAGCAGCTATAGCTTATGGTTATTCAGAGCTGAGGAAAAGAATCCATGCTCACATGTTACCAGGAAATGGCTTACTCAGCAAGTGGCCCTCAGCAGATCACTTGGTAAAATTCACTGAACCTAGAAACACTTCAATCAAAAAGAAACTACAAAAGGCTAAAAGAACAAATATAATTTTTTGCAACCTGGTGGACCCATTGGTCCTGGAGGCCCTGGAGGCCCTGGGGGCCCTGGAATTCCTGGAGGCCCTGGAGGTCCACATTGATTAGGATCTTGCGAAGATGTGATACCAGCTGCAAGTAACAGAGTGAAGAGGGCCAAAATCCGGAAACCTGGAGTAGAAAGAAATGGACAAAGTTTCAAATGGATTAGAAGACAGATCAGCCATTCTTCTTGAAGGTATCGGATTCTCAGCTTTGCCAAGTAGCAGCACACTTTCCCAATTTCAAGAAATCCATGTTGTGTTGGTATTTTGTTCCAACCAATGCCACATGCCTCAGTGCTGTCAGTCACCCAGAGAAGGCTATGAGTCACTTTCAGTTGAGATGCCTTCCAATTGGGCACCAAAAAAATCTGAGAAAAGCAGCTAATAATATCCAATTTGAAAATAGAAAATTTTTCTCAAATTCTTGCCAGCTCTAGAGGTTGTTTCTTGTGCTTTTGGAGCCTCCTGCTATCTGTTTAGGAGTTATCTTTATTTTTTTATTTTTTTTTGACAGGCAGAGTGGACAGTGAGAGAGAGACAGAGAGAGAAAGGTCTTCCTTTACCATTGGTTCACCCTCCAATGGCCACTGCAGCTGGTGCACCGTGCTGATCCGAAGCTGGGAGCCAGGTGCTTCTCCTGGTCTCCCATGCAGGTGCAGGGCCCAAGCACTTGGGCCATCCTCCACTGCACTCCCGGGCCACAGCAGAGAGCTGGGCTAGAAGAGGGGCAACCGGGACAGAATCCGGTGTCCTGATCGGGACTAGAACCCAGTGTGCTGGTGCCTCAGGTGGAGGATTAGCCTATTGAGCCACAGCGCTGGCCCAGGAGTTATCTTTAAACAATTGACTTGAGTAATGTCAAGTAACATATGATGATTAGGCACCTGCCGTGCTCTGTGTTTTGTTCTTTATAAATCTTACTGCTATTGCTGCATCTTTATCTGTATGAATAGGTGTTTGATAGTGAATGAATCAATAAATACTTCAACACTGAATTATCCAGAGGCTGTCTTCCACTGCCCTGAGGACTCATATTTAGCATAGGGACCTCCACTTGACTCTAAGGTATCAAGCCAATCATACCAATATACTTTTTTTTTTTTGACAGGCAGAGTAGACACTGAGAGAGAGAGACAGAGAGAAAGATCTTCCTTTTGCCGTTGGTTCACTCTCCAATGGCCGCCGCGGCCAGCGCGCTGCAGCTGGCACATCACGCTGATCCGAAGCCAGGAACCAGGTGCTTCTCCTGGTCTCCCATGGGGTGCAGGGCCCAAGGACTTGGGCCATCCCCCACTGCACTACCGGGCCATAGCAGAGAGCTTGCCTGGAAGAGGGGCAACCGGGACAGAATCCGGCTCCCCAACCGGGACTAGAACCCGGTGTGCCGGCGCGGCAAGGCGGAGAATTAGCCTATTGAGCCACGGCGCCGGCCCCAATATACTTTCATTGTACTTGCTCCTATTAATGCTCTTGTTTTATTGTCCCCTTGGTGAGACTATCAGATCCTTGAAGTCAGCAATGGCTCTCCTGTCCACCTTTAACAATAAACAATAAAGACTACTACTATAGCCATTCATCTCAAGAAACACAATCAATTTTTACATGATTGATTACAGTGTTTTTTGAGCATAAAATCTGCCCTAATTTCTGCTTCAAGTGATGCCATTCTGAAGCCGAAGGGAAAACCTGAAAGGATATAATACTGATTAATGAATATTTTTAAAATCAGTTGATGTGGATTCAAAGCTTAAATTTGCCTCCTCCAACTTGAGTAATCTCATCAAGTAACCTGACTTCCAGCCACACTTATATAATGGTGCTGGGTCACCTTGATAGTTTTACTGTTTAAAAATGATATACATAGGGGTCCACATTGTGGTGCTCAGCTGTCGCCTACAGCGTGGCATTCCATATCACAGCACAAGGTTGAATCCCACTTGCTCCGTTTCTGATCCAGCTCCCAGCGAATGAATGTACCTGGGAAGACAGCAGAAGATGGCCCAAGTAGTTGGTCCCTGGCCAACTTTGGAGACCCAGATGAAGCAATGGCCTCCTGGCTTTAGCCTGGACCAATCCTAGCCATTATGGCCATTTGAGAATGGAGTCAATCTCAATCTCTCTCTCTCTCTCTCTCTCCCCCTCCCTCCCTCCTTCCCTCCCCCCTCCCTCCCTCTCCCTCTCTCTCCCTCTTTCTCCCCCTCTCTTTTTTTCTCTCTCTCTCCTTCCTTTCTACTCCTCTCCTTCCTTTCTTGCTTTCTCTTTTTCACTCTGCCTTTCAAATATTAAATAAATCTTAAAAATGATGTATATAAATTATTTTAAGGATGTCTAGCATATATTTTTTATTTCATGAAAAGTTATTTCTTGCTACTTTTATTCTTTTTTCTCCCATCTAAGGGAACTGCTATTCTGACTTTTATACTGGAAAGAATGTTATTTGCAAGAGTTTTGATAATCTGTCGTATAAATACCAAGGACATATCTATCTCCAAGCAATTTTTAAATGATCGTGAGTATATTTTGAACATTTTGGCACATTCTGTTGCTTATATTTCTCAAATTCCTCTAGAAAATAGTGAGGGGTGTGGTGTTGTAGAAAACATTACAGAAAAGGACAAACTGAGGCCCAGAGCAGAAAGTGACTGCCCTTTCTATATATTGCTTTTGAGGATAGAACCAGGGTTGACATGAAACCCATGTCTCCAGACTCTAAGATGGTTCATGCTGTTATACAAGCCTGGTGCTGGGTCGTCTGTGTCTCAGTGGAAATGGGTGAGCAACAATTTTTGTTCCTATTCTCTCTCTTTTTTCAAAAAGATTTATTTATTTATTTATTTGAAAGGCTGAGTTACAGAGAGCGAGAGGCAGAGAGAGAGAGAGAGAAAAAAAGTCCTCCATGCATTGGTTCGTTCCCCAAATGGCCGCATTGGCCAGGGTTGGGCCAGACCAAAAACAGGAGCCAGGAGCTTCATCCAAGTCTCCGACATAGGTTCAGGGGCCCAAGCACTTTTCCAAGTGCATTAGCAGGGAGCCACATGGGAAGTGGAGCAGCCAGGACTTGAACAATGCCTATATGGGATGCCGGCGCTGCATAATCCACCACACCACAGCACCAGCACTGATCCCATTCTGGCTCCCTCACCCTAGTCCACCTGCCCACAGCATTCATTCATACCCATGCAGACTCACCTACACAGCATCAAATACATAACCAAAGGCTAAACAGAGAACTGTATTCATGGAGAGTCCTTAGTAATAGAAAAGGGAATTTGTTTGTTGTTGACCTAATAACAGCATTATTCTCAAAATATTATGTGAAAATAATACACTGAATTTCATAGGAAATCCATTTATTGCAGGAAAGTAGATGAGAACTTTGTGGTTTATCTTACTCAGTGTCCATAAAATAATTCAGGATAGTTTCCTGTCGACATAAGTTTCCTGTTGACTCAAGGTCAAAATCCCCAAAGAGGCAGGTCTGACATTCACAGAAAGTATAAATGCTGTAAGTGACCATATTTTTTTCCTTGTTGTCTCATACCAAGCTTAAATCCAAATTCTCATCCAAATTTCAAAATCTATCTTTATACTTATATCTTACTTCTTCTAGTCTTTATATTTAGCCAACTTGTTTGGCCTTTGCTGTACAAGAAGTGTAAGGTGTGTGTGTGTGTGTATAAACTATCCTCCCGTGTCTACTTATACTGTGTTATGATAGTATATGAAGTCATGTGGATGTTTCTTCAAATACTCTGTGGAATCACAGAGAGTTACAAGATAGTAGATGGGGCAACAAAGCAAACAACCATATTACTTCTAAAATACTGACTTGGCATTTCAAACGATAATCATTGACAGTCAGTACTACCAAGAATTTACTCTGATTGCTTAATGGTTGATAGGGCTAAGTAGTAAGGAAGGTAAGACAAGTTGAATACAGCATTTGAAAAAGCATAAAATAATGAAGAGATAGCAAAGGGACAGAAAACAGAACCAAAGGGAATAAACAGTTAACACAGAGATAGTTACAGTAAGAGAAATCTGGGGATAAAATCAAGACAGAAAAGGCAGAAGCAGAGATAAATACCAAGAAAGGCTAGGACACTGAGAAGACTTAGCATGCAGAGTAATGCAGTGTGCTACTGGTTCACTCTAACATTAAGCATCATAATGTTCAATAAAACATTTGATTGTAAATTGTATATAAAGGAGTTTAACATTCATACTTTTATTTGGTTATGTCCCAATGATGCTGATTTAATTTGAAAGTGTGACATTATTTCCAAATGGAAAGCAAGAGTTGTGAGGCCCCACGTTGGACTTCCAACTCTTCCTGTTCCCTTCTGTTTGCAGTAGCCAACTGATAAGGTTAATCAGGTGTCTCTGTTTTTGTCCAGTATTGTGGATGGTTGTAATGAAAAATGTAAATTGTGAATGTAAATGCAAAATGTAATGAGAAATGTAAATGAAAAAGAGAATTAATGCAGGGAGAAGGAAGTGCTTTGGAAGGTTCCTTGTGCTGCCTCCGTGGGTGGATTTCACTGCAATAGACATTGTAAAGAACTTACCCTCCGTGCCCACAGGGAGGACTCTTCCTCGCGGCCCAGGCATCGAAATGGTCCTTCAGGGATCACCACCTTACCTGCTCCTTCCTTCCTATCTGCTTGGTTTTTGAAACTGTGTGCTGCTGGTTTGATTAAGCTGATTTCTCTCAATTTTTCATTTTCCAGTCTCCTAAGGCTGAAGTCAAAGTTAACTTTTAACCACAGCAGTTAAACATTCAAACATGCTAAGCTGACGTGGTGACATTCAAACGGAAACAGTTCTGCTCACGGTCCCTCTGGTAGCCACTGTTTATTATCGCGGCCAACCCTGGCCTCTGAAGCTGACAAACTTTCGTTGGGTTGTCCCCTCCCTCTTGGTTACTTCATCAACATCACCCTGTGACCCCATCTCTGACTAGTTCAGAGCACGAGAAATGTAAAGAAGGGAATAAACCCCATTTCCCGTAACCCCAATCCATAATTACAGGCTGGAAACAGGAGTCCAGGGAGAAGAAATAGTTTAGTTGAGCAAATTAGGGTTAACTACAAGACAATGAAAAATTTCCCCTAACTTGGAGCCTGGGAATTTCTCTCCTGCTTTTCTCCCCATCTTCCAGTGTATTCGTGCTTTACTGTAACAGCCCCACACTGACACCTTTGCATGTGTCACACAGGCCCACTGTGCTTGCCAAGGTGAGCCTCACTTAATCAAAATGGAATTAATTGAGGGTGAGACTTTGAAAATGGTTGAACGAAGAGCTTGGCAAGCCTCTCCTCAAAAGGCAACAATGACACTGGACAAAATACCCAAAACAAACATTTAGTACATTTTGAAAATTACCAAAAAAAAAAAAAAAAGTCCATGAATCTCAGTAAGAATTGCAGAAATCTGTGCTGTCTTCATTTGAGGTTCCTCTCCTTTACCCTCCAGCTGCGTGACAGCACAGTTCTACTAGGCTGGGGCAGCCTGGGAGGACTGACAGCAGAGGGGACTGACCTGATCTTGAACAGAAAGTGTACAAGTCTAAGCCCAGAGGCATGGCCACAGTTAATAGTGTCCTAAATAGCAAAGGGCCAGGGCAGGCCAACATGGTAATTAGACTGAGATTTTAGAGCAGCCGGGAATTTAAATGGGAAAGCAGGACCATGGAACACTGAACGGCTTTGATAAATCCTATTGATCCCGGGTGATCTGAAGGTTGTGCACAGTCTTCTTTCAAGCTCAGGAAAAGCCAGAAAGAGCAGTGCCAAGTCACTCCTGACTGAATACAATGGTCTGTAAGCACCGGAAAAGGCAGAGCTGGAAATGCCCTGGATCTCGGATAAGCAGAATCTCTGATCAATTGGTGGTTGATAGTGACTGATTCCAAGCTGGGGCAATCCCCAGGCTTAGAAAAGTAATAAACAAATACTGCACAACCTCCCTTAAGTATGTAAATGTGGAATCTAAACAGTGTAACTCCTGGCAGGCTTTTGGATGCCTGCTCTCCATACCGAAGTGCCTGGATTCAAGTCCATCTTCCTAAGAACCAGCAGGTGATGGCTCAAGTAATTGGGTCCCTGCCACCTGTAGGGGAGACCTGGATTCAGTTCCTAGCTCCCAGGCTTTTGGGAAGTGAATAAGTAGATGAGAATTTCTCTCTCTCTCTCTCTCTCTCTCAGGTTTGTGTGTATGTGTACATCTGCCTTTCAAATAAGAAAAAGTGTCATACTCAGAGAGAGTAAAATATTTAATGAGGTTGAAGACAGAATGGGAAAGAAAGATGTTACTCAAAGATAAAATGTTTCAGTTAGACTGGAAATAAATTTCAGTGATCTACTGCATAGTGGAATTACTATAATTTTTTGTGAATGCTTTTAAAACTAATTTATTATTCTCTATAGCCTATCATGTACATTGCTCAGAATAATAAAGCATGAAGCAGACAAAACAAAAGACATACACAAGGCCCTAAGAGATCAAATCTATTGTAAGACCATAAACAAAAGTGCAAGTGAATTCAGCTCCAGTACTTTCTGTGTCATTCACCAGTAATCTATAGAAAAGTGAGTCTCAGGAGCTGTGTCTATGCAGTGAGATAACTCCAGATAACAGATATTATCCCAATAATGCCAGTCCCGGGGAAAATATGGAGAGTATAAATGAATGTTCCTAGTTTGAAGGAGTGGTTGATCATTTGTTTCATTTCCTTTTACCAACAGAAATGTAGCCACCTCCCATCACATGGTTGGCCGTCTAACCCATTTTCACTGTATGTGAAGAGAAGCAGATACGTTTACAATTCACCTCCTGTTTCACATCCAATGCCACATTAAAGCTGCCTGTTGTCCCTCCGTGATTTTCAAGGCACTTGAAGAATGAACCCACCACAAGAAGAAATATAAGCCTCATAACCCAAATCAGAATAGCTTAGAGCAACACAAAGGCTAGTAGGAACATGCAGTTTTCAAATCATGTAACTGGCAAAGCCTGGGTCCTTTCTTTTGGCTGTGTGCAAAACAAAGAAAATGTCCCATAGTGTTATTAATACATGCTTTTGTTTCATACTAGCAGAGGTGGCCTGCATTTTTAGCACAGCTGGATTAATTTGCTGTTATTTTTCTCTGTATAAAGCAAATGGCAGGATGTAAAATATTTTACTGTTTTTCATTGGTTGTGAATGGCAGCAAAAATTTGGAGCACCTTATTCTCACTTTCATCCCAGATTATAAGGATTGCTATGATAATGATAATGGGTATCTCAGAAGAGCTAGCTTTTTATTTTTTATTTTATTTAAGGAATACAAACTTCATGTTTTTCATATATACAAATTTTGGAACATAGTGAACCCCATCTCCCTCCTGCCTATACTCCCACCCTTCTTCCTCCTCCCTCTCCCATTCTCATGCATACTTTTTAGAAAGATCTACTTCGTTAACTTTACAATGATAAGATTAACCCTACACTAAGTAGAATTCAACAAATAGTATGAAGAAAAAAGGAATAAAACGAACACAAACAATAAGTATTGTTCCTCAACTGTTAAGACAAGGGCTACTCAAAATCATTGCATCACAAAGTGTCAATTTCACTCCTATAGATTACCTTTTAGGTATACTACTAGTTACCACAGATCAGAGAGCATATGGTTACTTGTCTTTTTGGGACTAGCTTATTTCACTGAGTATAATTAACTTAGTTGCATTCATTTTGCTACAAATGACAGGAATTCATTTTTTACTGCTGTGTAGTATTCCATAGTGTAATATACCATAATTTGTTTATCCAGTCTTCAGTTGATGAGCATTTAAGTTGATTCTATGTCTTGGCTATTGTGAATTGAGCTGCAGTAATTATTGAGGTGCAGATACCCGGAAGATCTATTATTTATTGAAAACTCAGTATGCAGCAGTCACTGATCTAAATATTTACATGTTAAGCATTTACATCTAAATGTTTTATTGACATTGATATTATACTCCAATCTTAACGATTCTGGAAAGGAACTCATGGTTTTCCTTCTAAACATGTTCCCATCCCAATCTCAAGTCTTCAGGTCTTTGTCAAAGTCACCACCATCCAGAGTTCCTCAAACAGAAAGCATAAATTATTCTTAACTATTTCCTTTGCATGGTGGCTCATATCCATTCATTAACCTTGTCAGTTGTTTCTGGGTTCAAAATATATATCTACTTCCTTCTATCTCCACTGATCCTAGTCTAGTCTAGTGTCTTTTAGGCTGTAATACAGAAAAAAATAAATACAAATGTTATACTTATATCCTAGATTGGATCCTGCAACAGAAAAAAATAGAGAATTACTGAAATCTAAATAAGTTCCTGAGTTTAACTAGTAATTTATACCAATGTTAATTTCCTTTTTATTTTAATTAAGTTTTAACAGATCCACAATGATTCATAATACAAGTCCAAGAACAGGGTATGCCTTTCCTCCCTCCCTCCCACCCACCTACCCTCTCGTTCTACCTTTCTTCTTTTTTTTTTTTTATTTTTTGAGGCAATGTATTTTAAATCTACAGTGCAGTAAAAATGCTTAATACCTCGACAAATAAGAAGTTTAAGTAAATAGCAAAAATACTCTATACAACAGCTATTAACAATAATTGTATGAAAAAATAATCATTTACCTGTATATAGATTTTTTATCAATTAGTCATTCATAAAATCTTTCAAAGAAATACAGTCAATGGTGTCGGGTCATAGATTTAAGTCTTTAATCCATGTTGAGTGAATTTTTGTGTAAGGTGAAAGGTAGGGGTCTTGCTTCATGATTCTGCACGTGGAAATCCAGTTTTCCCAGCACCATTTATTGAATAGACTGTCCTTACTCCAGGGATTGGTTTTGGATCCTTGATCAAATATGAGTTGGCTGTAGATGTTTGGATTGATTTGTAGTGTTTCTATTCTGTTCCATTGGTCTATCCATCTGTTTCTGTACCAGTACCATGCTGTTTTGATAACAACTGCCCTGTAGTATGTCCTGAAATCTGGTATTGTGATGCCTCCGGCTTTGTTTTTGTTGTACAAGATTGCTTTAGCTATTTGAGGTCTCCTTTGTCTCCATATGAATTTCAGCATCATTTGTTCAGATCTGAGAAGAAGGTCTTCAGTATCTTGATTGGTATTGCATTGAATCTATAAATTGCTTTTGGGAGAATGGACATTTTGATGATATTGATTCTTCCAATCCATGAGCATGGAAGATTTTTCCATTTTTTGGTATACTCTTCTATTTCTTTCTTTAAGGTTTTGTAATTTTCATTGTAGAAATCTTTAACGTCCTTGGTTAAGTTTATTCCAAGGTATTTGATTGTTTTTGTAGCTATTGTGAATGGGATTGATCTTAGCAGTTCTTCCTCAGCTGTGGCATTGCCTGTATATACAAAGGCTGTTGATTTTTGTGCATTGATTTTATATCCTGCTACTTTGCCAAACTCTTCTATGAGTTCCAATAGTCTCTTAGTAGAGTTCTTTGGGTCCCCTAAGTGAAGAATCATATCATCTGCAAAGAGGGATAGTTTGAGTTCTTCCTTCCCAATTTGTATCCCTTTAATTTCTTTTTCTTGCCTAATAGCTCTGGCTAGAACCTCCAGAACTATATTGAATAGCAGTGGTGAGAGTGGGCATCCCTGTCTGGTACCAGATCTCAGTGGAAATGCTTCCAACTTTTCCCCATTCAATAGGATGTTGGCCATGAGTTTTTCATAAATTGCTTTGATTGTATTGAGGAATGTTCCTTCCATAGCCAATATGCTTAGAGTTTTCATCAGAAAAGTGTGTTGTATTTTATCAAATGCTTTCTCGGCATCTATTGAGATAATCATATGGTTTTTCTTCTGCAGTCTGTTAATGTGGTGTATCACGTTGATTGTTTTGCGCACATTGAACCATCCCTGCATACCAGGGATAAATCCCACTTGGTCTGGGTGGATGATCTTTCTGATGTGTTGTTGCATTCTATTGGCCAGAATTTTATTGAGGATTTTTGCATCTATGTTCATCAGGGATATTGGTCTGTAATTCTCTTTCAGTGCTGCATCTTTTTCCGGCTTAGGAATTAAGGTGATGCTGGCTTCATAGAAAGAATTTGGGAGGATTCCCTCTTTTTCGATTGTTCTGAACAGTTTGAGAAGAATTGGAGTTTAGTTCTTCTTTAAATGTCTGGTAGAATTCAGCAGTGAATCCATCTGGTCCTGGGCTTTTCTTTGTTGGGAGGGCCTTTATTACTGTTTCAATTTCTGTCTCAGTTATGGGTCTGTTTAGGTTTTCTATGTCTTCCTGGTTCAATTTAGGTAGGTTGCATGTGTCCAGGAATCTATCCATTTCTGATAGGTTTCCCTGTTTGCTGGCATACAAGTCCTTGTAGTAATTTCTGATGATTCTTTTTATTTCTGTGGTGTCTGTTGTTACGTTTCCTTTTTCATCTCTGATTTTATTGATTTGGGTCTTTTCTCTTCTTTTTTTAGTTAGTTGGGCGAATGGAGTGTCAATTTTGTTTATTTTTTCAAAAAACCAGCTCCTTGTTTGGCTGATTTTTTTGTAATTTTTTTTGATTCAATCCTGTTGATTTCTTCTCTGATTTTAATTATTTCTCTTCTCCTACTAGATTTGGGTCTGGTTTGCTGCAGATTTTCTAGATCCTTGAGATGCATTGAAAGCTCATCTATTTGGTGCCTTTCCAATTTATTGATGTAGGCACCTATTGATATAAACTTTCCTCTTAACACTGCTTTTGCTGTATCCCATAAGTTTTGGTATGTTGTGCTGTTATCCTCATTTACGTCCAGAAAATTTTTGATTTCTCTTTTAATTTCTTCTATGACCCATTGTTCATTCAGGAGCATGTTGTTCAATCTCCATGTGTTTGCATATGCTCTACGGATTCCTGAGTTGCTAACTTTAGACTTTAAGCCATTTCCTCTCAATGGTTTATGCATAGGAATAATTTTATGCAGATTTCAATACAAATGATTATTCCTTTTTTAACTATTATTTACCACAGATCATGGAAAGCATGTGGTATTTATCTTTTTGGGACTGGCTTATTTCACTAACTTTAACAGGCATTTTTCAAAAGATGAAATTCAAAGAGCCATCAGACTCATGAAAAGATGCTCAGGATCACTAGCCATCAGGGAAACACAAATAAAAACCATAATGAGGCTTCACCTCACCCCAGATAGAATGGCTCACATACAGAAATAAAAAAACAATCAGTGCTTATGAGGATGTGGGGTCAAGTGTGCCCCAATTCACTGTTGGTGGGAATACAAACTAGTACAGTCACTCTGGAAGATGGTATGGAGATTCTGCAGGAAGCAGAAAATAGGTCTGCCATATGACCCAGCCTTTCCACTCCTGGGAATTTACCCAAAGAAAATGAAGTCAGCACATGAAAGAGTTATCTGTACTCCTGTGTTTATTGCAGCTCAATTCATAATAGCTAAGATGTGGAATCAACACAGATGTCCATCAACTGTTGACTGGATAAAAAAAAATGTTATGGGACTGGTGCTGTGGCATAGCGGGTAAAGCCACTGCCTGCAGTGCCAAAATCCCATATGGGCACCAGCTCGAGTCCTGGATGCTCTACTTCCAATCCAGCTCTCTGTTATGGCCTGGGAAAGCAGTAGAAGATGGCCTTTCCCCTGCACAGGAGACCCGGAAGAAGCCCCTGGCTCCTGGCTTCGGATCTGCACAGCTCTATCTGTTGTGGCCAATTAGGGAGTGAACCAATGGACAGAAGACTTTGTCTCTCTCTCTCTCTCTCACACACACACACATACACACTCTCTCTCTCTCTGCCTCTCCTTCTGTATCTGTGTAACTCTGACTTTCAAAGAACTAAATAAATATTTTTTAAAAAAGAAAATATGGTATATATACACTATGGAATGCTATTCAGCCATAATTACTATAATTAATAATATATTTCAAAATTGCTGAGTCCATTTTAAATGTTCTCACCACAAAAAATATAAGTAATGATATGATGGATATATACAGCTTGATATAATCATTCTGCAATGTATACATTGCTTCCCATAAATATATACAGTTATTACTTGTCAATTAAAAGAGAAAATTTTTGAATTTAACTCAGAGACATTATGGTAGGAAATAAAATTACTTCAGCATTATGGATATTATAAAGATGAATAATTCATTTTCCTATTCACTGAAAAATAGAAAAAGTGCAAGTATTAGTTTTTCTTCATTTAGATATTAGGCCACCAATATCATCTGGATATGGATTAAAAAACGTAGTGCCCTGAAGATGGTATCAGAATCAGACAATTAACTCATTCAAACAACACTGCCCTCATAACCATCTATAAAAGCAAACCACGAGAGGATGGCCCAAGTGCTTGGGCCCCTGCACCTGCATGGGAGACCAGGAAGAAGCTCCCGGCTCCTGGCTTCGGATCAGCGCAGCACCGGCCATAGCAGCCATTTAGGGGGTGAACCAACAGAAGGAAGACCTTTCTCTCTGTCTCCCTCTCTTACTGTCTATAACTCTACCTGTCAAATAAAAAAAATCAAACCACGAGAGTGTTCCCTAACTGGGAAACTGTTCCTGGCCTACAGTTAGCATACAATATTATGTTTGCTGTCACTGAGCACCAGCTGTCCTGTGATATCTGTGTTTGGCTCAGGGTTCATGATCAAATGCACATATATCATTACTACTGGCTTCTAAGTCTGCAATTAC